GTTAATTTGTCGATTCGCACAAATGATCAAATGCCGTCCTTAATTGAATGGTGGCATAATGTGGGACTCCCTTCTTTACTCCCTATTTCCCCTCTATGGGAGACGGCACTTCAAAGTTTAATGCAAAAACGCATGGCCACACTGGCTCGCTTGGTGCGTTCCAGCCTGGGTTGCAATTTGCGTATGTGCAGAAATGCATAATAGCCAGAGGAAAGAAGTGGATAATTGAGCAACCTACGAGGTGATTACAATTAGCGTAAGTAATTAGAAGTATGTAAAGCAGAAGAAAAACCCTAGAAGTTTATAGTCGCAACTTACTAATGCTCAAATCCCAGTACTGTTTTTTCGAGCAATCACATTTAGGATTTTGACTTCCTTTTTCAAGACTCAATCAGAAAAATTCTGCGAGTGCCCTTTCGGTGGCAATCTCCGTGCTTACATACCTGAGGCTCACGTGAAAGATTCATTAGCAAAACGCATTAATAAAATGACGAATGCATGATTAGCAATTTTCAGATAAGAGGCTTGAGGAATCCTTGGACCTTTCTGAGATTTATATGAATTAATTACGATAAATACCATTAACCTGTGCAATGATGATGCAGTAGCGTTGCAGCAATGTACGACTTCTTGAGAGGGCATAACAGAATAAGCTGTTGCAAATTACGCTCACCAGTCCAAGAAAGATGTATGCATAAAACAATACTGCTAATAAGCCCAACATGTTTTATTTCCTATACAATTTAAAATCCATTTAATTAAAAATATATGTAAGCATGAAAGATGCAGCAGTATTGCGGCATTATGAAAGGCCAGAAAGGCTTATGAATGTGATTTACCACGAATATTAGGACTGCTCACACTATCATTTTGGATATCACCTGTCTGTGACACTACGAGGATGCTCCCACGCACCGATCGCAGCTACGTCAGGCTTTTCGATCTTGGGCTGCATGCCTCTATTTGGTGTTCACCACCTTTTCGATGATTGTGTGCCACCTTCTTCAGATACCACCCGAGTAACTGTTTTGTTTCTTGTAGTTACCATTCTCTAATGCGCGTCGAGTGTAGGTTGTCGGCAGGGCAAGCAGCATGTCATGCCCATCGTATTTTGCATTCGCAATAATACCCACGACACCACTTATCTGTCGAAAAGTCTGATTGTATGGTCGCAGATTGTGTGGCCTCTTCAGTTTTCGAAGAGGGAACGTTGACTGTGAGCTAGATAGCGTTTCGCATCTGTATGCCACCGCCTTCAAACAGCGATATTTAAAAAGTGGGCATGGTCGTTCCAATCAGACGCTTTGGGAATATCGGCGATGCCGCGAAATTTGCTCCCACGATGAACCCCTTGGCAAGTAATCTGCGGTTTAAAGATTAACCACATATTTGCCTCCTGATCAAGAAGGACTGTGGAAGCCAAACTAACCTCATGCCGCAGGCTGACGTACAAAAAGATTTCAGCTTACTTTTTTAGTAGTCCAGGAAAAAAAAAATCATCTCGGCAGCCCTAAGGTGTTTTAAACATTATTATAAAAGCGAGAAACTACTTTTAACTGTCGCCATCTGGAAGCTTACAAGCCAAAACTGGGGTACGGCGCTCTTGAAGAACTCAGCTTACTGGCCAATTACTGCGAGGAAGAGAGAAATATCAACAGCATTGGGATGTTGTTGTAAAACATGGCTGTGTCTAGTTGTTAGCCAAATTACTATGATTAATCCAGTAAATAGCTATTCACTACGATCAGTCGATTAGGTATTTAACATTTCAATTAATGAAAAACAAAGCTAAAACTTTCACATGCAACTAAAATGAACACTATTTATGCGTTTTTGCGCATATTTAAATTGCAAAAATGCATATTTTAATTGCAAAACTGAAACTTTCGTATGCAACTAAAATTAGCGCTTTTTATGCGTTTTTACATATATGTAAATTGCAAAAACGCATATTGGGAGGAGGCTGTCTGTGTGTGTGTGTGTGTCCATGTGTTCGCAGTTTTTGTCACCCACTTTCAACTCGAGAATCAGAAAAGCTAGAGGGCTGAAACTTTAAGAGTATGTGCCCATATCTTGCGCGACCCTCCCGTTTGAATTTCATCCCCCTCGAATGCCTAGGTGCCGTGTACTGTAAATGGGAATGTTGTTCCCATTTCATATCACTTTCTTATCCTTACAGATCAAACATTAAATGAAACTTTGAAAACAAAAAAAAAAGGAGTAGGAAGGAATTTTACGACTGTGAGGTCACGCATATGTGTGATGTGCTGGACCTCATAACAAAGATATTATTGGCGCGCATTTAAACCCATTGCGCCGAAAAACAAAAATATTAACCCGCCAGTCGCGCTTACAAGCGATGCCGCAGTTTACAACATGAAAATTATTATCATGTTCGGCATGATCACAGGCCCACAACTCGAAA